AAAAAAAAAAAAAAAAAAAAAAAAAATTAATGTAAAAATCTGCCCAAGCCTAGGAAAACCTCTGAAGTACTTCACAAGTGCAAATACAAAACTATGCTGAAGGAATATGTTAATTTAGTATAAAAAAAAAGTGAGCTCATAGGGGCTGGGGTTGTGACTCAGTGGTAGAGTGCTCGCCTTGCATGCGTGAGACCCTGGGTTCGATCCTCAGAACCACATAAAAATAAATAAGTGAAATAAAGTTATTGTGTCCAACTACAACTAAAAAATAAATATTTTAAAAAGTGAGCTCACAATCAAAAAACTACAAACATGAAAATCAAGCCTCATTCAACACGCACACAAGATGATCAGATACAGACCACAAAACTTTTAAAGAATAAAGGATAAGAAAATGTGAAAAAGAAGCAAAGATGGATCCATGTCTGATAGAAGTGCCACAAGAACAAAGTGGGTGCAGTGGCACACCCCTATAATCCCAGCAATTAGGGAGGCTGAGGTAGAAGGATTGCAGGTTCAAAGCCATCCTCAGCAACTTAGTGAGACCCTGTCTCTAAATAAAATATTTAAAAAAGGGACTAGGGATGTGGCTCGTGATTAAACGCCCCTGGGTTCAATCCCCAGTACCACAAGAAAAAAAAAAAAGATGATTAGGCTAATAGCAGTACATAATAGCAACAACACAAGACAGTGAAAATATTCTCTCAAAGGCTGAATGACAATAACTGTCATTCTAGAATTCTATACCTATCCTTATACCATTATTTAATAGTAAAAATAGGAGGGAGGACCCACATATTTCAGTTAAAGAGATTATATCTCTAATAAACCATCAAACCCTGAACCTAGAAAAAAAGTTGGTGGGTAAAAGAAGCAGTGGTGAACAAAGAAAATGATAAACATTTGAGTAAAGTGAAATAAGCATTGGATGCATAAAATAACAATAACTAAACTGTATGAAAACAAAGCAAGAGTATGAAAACAAAGCAAGGTGTAGAGGCATACACCTTTAAACCCAAGAACTCAGGAGGCTGAAACAGGTGGATCACAAGTTCCAGGCCAGCCTGGACAACTTAGTGAGACCCTGTCTCAAAATAAAAATAAAAAAGCCAGGCATGGTGGCACCTATAATCTCAGCAGCTTGGGAAGTTGAGGCAGGAGGACTGAGAGTTCAAAGTCGCCTCAGCAACTTATCAAGTCACTTAGCAACTCAGTGAGACCCTGTCTCTAAATAAAATACAAAATAGGGCTGAGGATGAGGCTCAGTGGCTGAGTGCCACTGAGTTCAATCCCCAGTACAAAAAAAAAAAAAAGTTTCCTTATCAGTACAGAAAACATGGAATATTTAACAAGATTTATAATAGACCACATACCAAGAAGTTTCAAATGGAGCAGTCATCAATGTTAAAAGGAAACCATATCAGAAAGAAAAAAAAAAGACTTCTTTTATAACCTAAGTATAACCAAAACCTAAAACCCAAAGGCTATACACCACAAAAGTTTGATTTGTAAACATGATAAAATTAGGGGCTGGGATTGTGGCTTAGTGGTAAAGCGCTCGCCTAGCATGCACCGGGCCCTGGGTTCGATCCTCAGCATCACATAAAAATAAATAAATGGAATAAAGGTATTGTGTCCAACTGCAACTAAAAAAAAAAAATCAGACAATAAACTCAGAAAAAATATCAACTGATTATCACAAAGACCTAATCAAATAAAAAGAAAATAGACAAAAAGCAAACAATGGTATTAACAGACAAGGAAATGACTCTCATCAGGAAAAATGACTACTCTCACTTAAAAGAAATGTCAACTAAGACTATTACTTTCTCCTTAGATGGGAAAAGTCGAAAAGTTCAATTAACATTATAATTTTTCAAGAAGGTAGGAAAATGGGGTAGGAATGGGGCTGGGAGTATGGCTCAGTAGTAGAGCGATTGCCTCACATGTGGGAGGCACTGGGTTCAATCCTCAGCACCACATAAAAATTTAAAAAATAATAATAAGGTGTTGTGTCCATCTACAACTAAAAAAAAATTAAAACAAACAAACAAAAAATAGGGTAGGAAGACAGCTCAGTGGTACAGTGCTGACCTAACATGTCATAAGGTCCTGGGTTCAATTCCTAGCACCACAAACAAACCTATAGGAAAACTGGGCAAGCTCTTATACATTATTGAAAGGAAGGCATGTTTGTAATCAACTCTCTAGAGAGCAGTTTAGCAACACCTATCAAATTTTAAAATGTTTATAACCTTCTGACTCAGCAATTCTAAGAGTTCTGTAGACCAATTCACATACTTGCAAAAGGATGTATTTTAACAAACACTATTTTCTATGCTAGTATTAATACTATGCTATAGGGGCTGGGGATGTGGCTCAAGCGGTAGCGCGCTCGCCTGGCATGCGTGCGGCCTGGGTTCGATCCTCAGCACCACATACAAACAAAGATGTTGTGTCCGCCGAGAACTAAAAAATAAGTATTAAAAAATTCTCTAAAAAAAAAAATACTATGCTATATATGTTAGCACTTTTTTACTATCAACCAAGCACTATTCTAAATGCTTTACAAATATAATCAACTTAATTCTGATAACAACCCTGTAAAGCAGGTATCATTCTCCAGTTTATAGCTGAGGAAACTGAGGCACAGAGAGACTAAGTAATTTTTTCAAGTTCAGTTAGTAAATGGCAAAACGTGGAATAAAGCACAGATGGTCTGGTTCTGGGGTCTGTGTTTTAATTACCACACTATTGCAAGTGTACATCTTTCTTTTTCTGTTTCATTACTTATTGAAGCGGTATTTAATAGGCAGACGAGAAACAATGTACCCTCCAAAGAAATGTTACCTAAGTTACTACATCCTACAGTATAGATCTAGGGTAGAACTTTGTCGCTGGGACATGTTAGATATTTTAATCTTGGGTAAATTACTTTCATGGTCCTCAGTTTTCTCATCTGATATATGGCTGATGATATTAATGCCACCCCCCTTCTAGGTGTTGTGAAGATTAAATAGTTTTGAGTGCTTACAATACTATCTGTCACACAACTCAAAAGTTCTAATTATTGTCATAGTTGCTACTGTCACAGTTGAAAATACTAGGTCTGGAATGTAATTTGTGGTATTGTACTTGCTTAGCATGTGTGAGGTGTTCAATGTTCTGTACCACACCCAAAAAGGAAAAAACTAGAGTGTTTCAGAACCACTCTGATCCACTGATCTGCCTGACTTTCATATGTCTGGCACCATGCACATTACCTTTTTAATCAGGTTAATAGAAGTGCTACAACAAGCTCCTAAAAATAATTTTTCTTTGTTAATTCTTTCCTATTTATTCTGCCAGGTGAAATTTAGAATAACTTTCAGATCCCCCACATCTCTCATCCATTCACTTGAATTGTATGATAGCCACAAGTTAGAAATGACTATATTTTAATAAGTCTTTCCATCTTTGGAGCATGGTATATCTCAATTATTTCAGAATTTTAAATTATCTCTCATAGTTTTCTATTACTTATTGAAGTCACTTTTAGGTACTTTATGCTTTTGTTGACAATATGAATTATATCTTTTCCCTTAATTAGCTTTCAGATTTTCAATGGTATTTAAAAAATGTCTGTGTTTTTATGTATTTACTTTATACACACACACACACACACACACACACACAGACATATATCAATATACTTACATTTTTACTCCTAAAAATAGTCTCTTAAGTTTTCTAGTATAAAATCATAGCCTATATTTTTTTGTAATGAAAGCAAAATTTTTATAATAATCCTGAGCAAACGTATTGACCAAAATGTCTCAGAGGGGATTTTTATTTTGGTACCAGGATTGAACCCAGGGGCCCTTTACAACTGAGTTATATCCCCAGTCCTTTTTTTTTTTTTTTTGAGAGAAGGTCTCATCAAGTTATTGAGGGTCTCCCTTAATTGCTGAGACTGTTTGGAACTTGCAATTCTCCTGCCTCAGCCTCCTGAGCTATTAGAATTACAGTTGTGCGCCACCAAACCTGCCACAGGGAGGATTAACAGCAAAACATGCAAAAATATTTACTCTACCTGGAAAACAACCTGACTCCTGGCCTCCCAACCTCCTATAGACCATTCATTACAAGGAGAATGTTCTATGGTTATAAGAATGTTAATGATAAAGAGAGCAAGCTATAGCACGACATGCACAGAATAAGTCTGTTTTCATTAAAAATGTTTATTTTATGTTTATGTTTTGTTTTGGTACTGGAGATCTGCACCCATGGTTACTTTGCTACTAACCTATATCCCCAGCCCCTTTTAAAAAATGTTTAGACAGGGTATTACTAAGTTGCTGAGGCTGAGCTTAAACCTGCTACATTCCTTCCTCAGCCTCCTGAATAACAGGGATTAGGGCAAACTTCACCATGCCTGGCATAAATAGCATAGTCTTAGTAGAGCATATACTAAAAAATAGATGAAAGACTAGTTACCAAATTGTTAACAGTGCTTGCCTGAGGAATTGGGAATGGGGGAAATAACTTCCACTTTTTAAACTGTTGGATATCCACTTCTAAATCATTAATTTTGCAGCCTGTGTGTGTGTGTGTGTGTGTGTGTGTGTGTGTGTGTGTGTCTGTTTGTCTGTCTGTCTGCGTAAGGGTCTAAGTTCCCTAGGCTGGCCTGGAACTTATCCTCCTGCCTCAGGCTTAAAATAGCTGATATTAATAAAAAAAATTCTATTTCTTTTTTCCCCCAATAATGGGGATCCAATACAGGGGTGTTCTATACCACTAAACTACATTCCCAGCCCTTTTTGTTTTTTGAGAGAGGGTCTTGCTAAATGCCTGAGACTGGTCTTGAACTTGCAATCCTCTTGTCTCAGCCTTCTGGGTCACCCAACTTCACTTTCTTTTTAAAAAGCTAAGTTCAAAAGACACAGATGAAAAAAATTTCAAATTTCCATATGGAACTTATTCATTATTCAGAAAAACAGCTGAGGGCTATTGTTTTAAATATATGTTGAATACATACGATTTTTACTGCAGACGTGACACATGGCCCATAGTCCCCAGAGCTGAACCACTGGTTGAGAGAAGTTGCCAAGGAGTGAGTAAAATGACTTGAAAGATCTAAAAAGTACAAGGATGTGAATTCACAACTCAGAAATATGAAAATAATTTAACATTTCCCCCATAGTCAATTCCTCACCAAACCAGATATACTATGCAATATACCTTGGTAGCTATCATTTAAACTGAATTTTTTGTCAGATGCTCTACACATTCAATAGTTCATTTCTTCCTCAATCTGGCACACTGTCCACCTCACTTCTTAATTAAGGAAAATGGAATCATTTCTAGAAATGACTTTCACAGTATCACAGAAAAGAAGTGGGATTTGAACACAAGGCTAAATGATACTGAGACTTTATTACTATATAATCAAGCACACTAAGGACAGGCTTGAAGAAAATCACATCATAATGAAATTACCTGTATGTTACCAATGCTGACATCTTACAACTTGGACTTGGCCAATTCTTCATGGTTGCATGCTTTTCCCCAAAAGACAGGGAGAAACAAAGATTCAATTATTATATTCCATCATTTATAAAAGGTCAAAAGAGATTATTTCATGTCATTTATAATTAAATACATTTGAAACAAAAAATAAATTTTCAAAACATGGGAATGACAAAATTTAGACATACCTACTTACCAAATCATTTGACAACCATTACATATGTAGATACATGAAGAAAAGAATGCAATAAAGGCTTCTTTTTTAAGGTACTGAACTGAAATTACACTACATCCTTAAATACCACTCACTGAATAGTAAGAATGGTTTAAAACAGAAGAACTCACTCTAACAGAAAACATGTGGAATGAATTTTGAATCACCTCTTTAAAAGCCCTCTGTTCCTGCTGAAGGATAGAAAAAGCCTTTGGGACAAGAAGTCCCCTGTGTTTCTCCTTTGCTAGCAAAGCAATAAACCTCTTTTTCCTCTTTCTCAAAAATAAATAGATAAATAAAAATAAGAGAAGAAATCAAACACCAAGAACAAAGTAGATGGGAGATATAATAACTGAGTGTGGTAAGAAAAACAAACCCCTGGGGACAGTGGTGCATGCCTATAATCCCAACTTGGGAGGATTACCAAATTCAAGGCTAGTCTCAGCAATTCAGCAAGATCCTCAGCAACTTAGTGAGACTGTCTACAAATAAAAAAAGAATTGGGCGTGGTGGCACATGCCTGTAATCCCAGAGGTTCAGGAGGCTGAAGCAGGAGGATCCCAAGTTCAAAACCAGCTTCAGCAACTTAATGAGTCCCTCAGCAACTTAGTGAGACCCTATGTCAAAATAAAAAATAAAAAGGGCTGGGGATATAGCTCAGTGGTTAAAAGCCCGTGGGCTCAATCCTTGATACCAAAATATAAATAAATAAAATAAAAAGCTAGGGATGTTGCTCAGTGCTAAAAGCACCTCTAGGTTCAATCTCCAATGCCGCAAAAACCCAATTTGAACACAATCCCTAGGAGATTTAAAATTTTTCACACAAGCTACTTTCCAAAATGAAACTAGAGATGGGCTTCAAAACAGGAGGATGGCTGAAATGATTAAAGAATGGGGCTGGCAATATAGCTCAGTTGTTAGAGTGCTTGCCTTGCATTCACAAGGCCCTGGGTTCTATAGCCAGCACCACATGCACCACACACACACACACACACACATTTTTTTAAAAGGCTGGAAATGTAGCTTAGTGCTTATGTAACTTGTGTAAGGCCCTGTGTTCAATCCCCAGTACTGAGGCAGGGAAACATAGAAAGCAGAAAACACAGTCTGGGGAAGGCCAATATCCCCAGAAAGAAAAAAAAAAATTTTAATGAAAAAGTGGGGGCTGGGGTTATGGCTCAGCAGTAGAGTGATCACGCAGCATGTGCAAGGAAGCCCTGGGTTCGATCCTCAGCACCATATAAAAACAAATAAATAAAAGTATTGTGTCCAACTACAACTAAAAAACAAATATTTTTAAAAGATGAAAAAGTGGGCTGGGCACATGACTCAGTGGTACTGTGCTTTCCTGGCATGTATAAGGTCTTGGGTTTATTCTCCAACATCAGAAAGAAAAGGAAAAGGAAAGGAAAGAAAAAAAAAGAGGAAGGGAGGGAGGAAGGAAAAAAGGAAAGAAAAGGATGAAAGAAAGAGAGCTGGGCACAGGAACACACGCCTGTAATCCTAGCAACTCCAGAGGCTGAGGCAAGAGGATGACAAGTTCAAAGGCCAGTGTCAGTAAAAATAAGAAGAGATGTGGAGGTGGCTCAGTGCTTGTGACCCTTTAGGTTCAATGTCCAGTACTGCAAAAAAAGAAAGCTCTTTACCTTCAAAGTTTGGAATCATAGGGATATACCTTGATAAGGGTTCATTTTCTTATACTGCATTGAGTACTTATTACTCTGGAAGTTTGTTTCCTTCATTTGGGGAAATTTTTTCTTTTCCAGTACTAGGGAGTGAACCCAGAGGCACCTTACCACTGAGCTACATCTCTAGCTCTTTGAATATTGAGATGGGGTCTCTCTAAGTTTCTGAGTCTGGCCTTGAACTTGCAATCCTCCTATCTCAGGCTTCCAAGTCACTGGGATTAGAGTGTGCACTATCATGCCTGGCAAAGACTTAAAAATTCTGAAGGAAAAATATTTGAAAGCTAAAAATTCTACACCTAGCCATTTCACCAACTAAATGTGAGAGTAAGATAAAGGCCTTTAGAAACAGTTGAGATTTCACTTTCATGCATCTCTTCTTAGGAAACTACTGGAAGATATGCTGGGGAGCGAGTAAACCAAGAAACAGGAAGGCATGTAATCCAGAAAATAGGGAAGCAACACAAGAGAGACGATGGGAATATGTAGGATGACAGTAAAGGAATATCCTAGGACGACAGTAACAAAGGTATACCAGATAATACAAAACAAGCAGACCAGATAGAAGAGACACAGAAGGCTCTTGAGAAGGTGAAGTGGATAGAACAGTTCTGAAATGTACTGAAAAACTTATAGCTAGAGTATAGGAAAGAGTAGACACAAGAAATAGCAAGAATAAGAATCATTCTTTCCTATTTGGGGTCAATTAATGGACAGAAGATGCTTAAAAGTAAAAAATAGCAACAAGACTGGTCACCATGGCCCACACCTGTAAGTCCCAGCTACTTGAAAGGCTAAGGCATGAGGATCACAAGTTCAAGGCCAGCCTCAGCAATTTAAAAAGGGTGGGGATGTAACTCAGTAGAAAAGTGCCTCTAGGTTAAATCCCCAGTACCCCCCCCACTACCACCACCGCCGCAAAAAAAAAAAACCAAAACAAACAAAAAACCCATAATATCTTATTTAGAGATATGGAAGTAAATACCAAAAGAAATAACTTTTAAAAAGCTGAAAGAGAAAGGGGATTTGCATAAAGCCATACACAACTGTTTGCATGTGTAACTTTTATAAAAAAAAAAAAGAAACAGTAAAAGAAATGCAACAAAATTTTGCATTCAAGAGGTTAGCTTTAGGTGAAAGAGCATGGGTAAGTTTCCATTTTCTTCTTTCCTATATGTATTTTTCCCATTTTTTATAATGATCTATAAAAGTAAGTTATATACAAGAAAAGATTACACTGTTTTGTAAAGAAGAATGGTTCCTGTACCAAATCCTGGAGAAGAGCATTCCTCTGCAGGTCACGGAAGAGCCAGGGCTGTTTGTTAGAAGTCAGGTGGGCTATGATACCTGCAGCAAAATAGCTCACTTCTATTTCTTTGCTATGAAGTAAACTGCTGATATGCTTCATCACATCTTCAGTCACCAGCTTGGAAGAAAACTCTCTGACTTCAGCTATGTTGTTCTACAGGTCACATGAAGCAGTGAACATCAGGGACAGGAAGGGAGGAGAGTAAGGAATTAGCTTTTCTCTCTTTCCTACTGCTCATCTCAAATCCGGCTCAACAGCCTAATCCCCAAATCCCACCCCTTTAGCATGAGCATGATCATTACAAATAAATCACCAGATGAGCACTTGCTCAGTACCAGGCATACTACTAGGTAAATGTCTTTTTCTAACTGCCTTATCTCTCATTTAATACAAGAATCAGGTTCACATTACTCATAACTGCATGAATTAAAACTCAAAACCAGGCTTGACAAACAACATAATCAGGGGTCTGCTAGATGTTACATTATCTTGACAAGTTTAACAATAGGCAGGTAATATTTGTTTTATTATGTTGCATTATTTAATTTTCAATACTGTGTAACAAATTACCATAAACTTAGTGGCTTAAAATAATATGAATTTACCTCCTCACTGTTTCTGTGGAACAGGAATCTGGGTGGGGTCCTCTTTCTACTCTGAGATCTCCTAAGGCTGAATTTCTCAAGTGCAATCTCCACTGATGCTGGCAGAATTTGTTTCTTGTGGCTGCAGGACTGAGAGATCCAGTCTCTTGCTAAAAGCCACCTTGAGTTCCAAGAGGTTGCCCAGTTCCTTGAAATGTGGGTTTCTCCCTTTTCCAACTACTAACTTCAATATATTTTACTCCTTTCAAGTTATAAGCAAGAGTCCTTAAAGTGTGTTTACTAGCAAGATGGATTCATAAATATATTGTAACATAATAAGGATGTGATAATCTATCATCTTTGCCATATTCTAGCTGTTAGAAGCAAGTTAACAGGTCCTGCTCACACTCCAGGAGAAGAGGACATTACAAAGAGAAACAAATACAGGAGGTTGAAATGTGTGGTCAGTCATTTGGGGTCTAACCACACAACTGAAAAAGCAAAGGTTTGAAGAGATAGAACCAACAGTCAAAGTAAATAGAACAGAACATAGGGGCTGGGATTGTGGCTCAGCGGTAGAGCGCTCATCTAGCATGGGCAGGACCCGGGTTCGATCCTCAGCACCACATAAAATAAAGGCATTGTGTTGTATCCATCTACACCTAATAAAATAAATATTTTTTTAAAAAAGTAAATAGAACAGTTACTTTAAATCAATGCTAACTTCTGCTATTGCTTCAGCAACTTCCTAGAAAGTACACCATGGACACTAGTATGCTGAAAAGAACAAAGGAAAGTAGAGCTGAAATTGTACTGTTTTTGAGAATCCCCTCAACCTCAGCTCCTTTTTTTCCAGAGATGAGATATGACCCTTGTAAATAGGATAGTTTAAGAGTTAGGTCTATTAGACATTAAATCCAAACAATATAAATCTTTTGGAAGTCTGAAAGGCTCAAAAAAAAATATTTTAAAAAATGGAAAATCTAAATTTTTTTCCTTGTCCCCCATCTTTGGACAGTGCTGGGGATCAAACCTGTGACCCTGAACATGCTAGGCAAGTACTCTTGTCACTGAGCTAGCTATTAACTAGCTAGTAAGATATATAAGGCTTTAGTCCAACTTTCTGGTATTATTTCCCATTGCTAGTCTCTTTTCCAGTTTCTCCCAAAATTTCAATTCTGAAATTTTCTGTTTCATAGTATCTCTTTAATGATTATATTGTCTTTAGCCAAAAATGACCTTTGTCCCTACCTTCTGCTTTTCTGTAACTTTTTGATTTCCAACAATAATCATTTATCCCTCTCTGTGATGGCTTTCACATCTACTGTGTTGTGAGTCCTATAGGTGCCAGGTACATGAAGAGCATAAGTCACAATCCTCATTTTCAAGAAGTTTATGATTAGAAGCAAAGGCTCCCACAGGACTTATGCTTCTCTTCTAGCAATACAAGATGCAGTCTTCAAGGAGAGAGCTGTGTACACAGGTCTAACACTACCTCCTAAACTTGGAAAGTATATGTACACTCAGCCGGAAAGATTTATTTGTCTGTATCTCCCACTGCACCCAGTATGACAAAATAAAGGTGTGCATGGTACATTTTTATTAATTTTTGTAAATCTTTAGGAAACAAATTTCTCAATTATGGAATATTTTGAATGAGAGAATACACAAATAAAAACAAAGAAATTTCTAAAAAATTGATTGCCTTGGGGCTGGGCAGGCATTGGGAAAAAATATATATAAACATAATATAAATCACCTTGACAAAGATGTATTATAGTTAAGATTGTTAATACAAGAGGGTCTAGAGCCAGCTCGAGTTTGAATTTTGATTCTATACTAAAGTGACTTAGGATAAATGCTAGTTTCATGTGTCAAAGAGTTTGTGTCTAAGATGTGGATGATAACTGTGTGGTATAGTCATAGCATAATTTTTCCTATCACTGTAGCAATGTGATTTTGCTGTTACCTTCCATGAAAGGATGGCCAGTCTAATCTGAGCTTAACCATAGAATCTGCTTTTGGCCGGTGAGATATTAACAAGTGTGATGTAAACTGAACTTGGAAAGTATATGTACGATGGGACTTGGCCCTCTATTGCTGGCCTGAAACTACCACAGAAAGAAGCCCATGATGACACAAGGCCCAGTCAACTACCAGTCCCAACTTCAGACATGAAAGTCGGGCCACCTTAGACCATCTGGTCCCAGTTGAGTCACCAGATGACTGTGGTTTCATGAATTTCCCCCAGGAGACCAACAGAAAAACTGTAGAGCTGATCTGAACTCAAACTGTTGATCCACAAATTCTTAAGTAAAAAAAAATGGCTATTGTTTTAAGTCACTAAGTTGCAGTTTGTTCACAGCAATAACTGGCTGACATATAATGCTATTTACTTTACAGGGATAATGTGAAAATTAAATGAGTTTATACATGTAAATAGATTTTAACATTTGCTAGCACATGGTAGGTACTACATCCATGTTAATTTTCTGAAAGTAATTAAAATTAACTCAAAACAATTCACCTTACCAAGAGACCAAGTACTTTGCTTTGTACTGAAGACTCTGAAAAAGTCTGTCAAAAGAATAAATAGGTTACTTTATCATGAAGAAAAGAATTTTTACATATAAAGTCAATCCCATCTTCCCACCTCTAAAACTTGAACGTAGATTGCCAATCCTTGGTTTTCAATGAAGTGTTTGCAGGCAGCTGGAGATTCATCTGTAAGATTCCAAAGTGCTTTCAAAGCAAACAAGAGGGTGACATCATCTAATTTTTCAGTAGTCTTTTGTTTCACTATCGCTATAAGTTCCTAAAACACAAAGAGACAGGAGGTTAGATGCCCTATTGAATGCCCACTTCCATTACAAGAAAAGCAAAATTAAGAAGAGTGTTTAGGGGCTGGGGATGTGGCTCAAGCGGTAGTGTGCTCGCTGGCATGCATGGGGTGCTGGGTTCGATCCTCAGTACCACAGGCAACTAAAAAAATAAAGATGTCGTGTCCACCGAAAAATTAAAACATAAACATTAAAAGATTCTCTCTCTCTCTTAAAAAAAAAGAAAAAAGAAGATGTTAGAATCAAATCCCTGTTTCAAACCCAAGTTTCATCACTTAATAGCTTTGTGATCCATTTTTTCAGTAAAATATATTTTAACTATCTCCTATGATTTTTTGTGATTAACTGAAGAAAACAAAAATATAGACGGGTAGTAGCTCAGTGGTACAGCACTTGCCTGGCATGCATGAGGCCTCCTAGTTCAATCCCCAGTATAACCAAAAAAAGAAAAAAAAAAAGGGCAGAAGGATAAAAGTTTAATAAGTGTGCTTAGTTGGTAAAAACAAACAAACAAATAAACAAACAAACTGCATTATTGCCAGTAATCTCAGTAGACCAGCTCAGGAGGCTGAGGCAGAAGGATCATGAGTTCAAAGCCAGCCTCAGCAATTTAGCAAGGTCCTAAGCAACTCAGTTAGACCTTGTCTCTAAATAAAATACAAAAAAGGGCTGGGGAAGTGGCTCAGTGGTTAAGCACCCTAGGTTCAATCTCTGGTACCCCTCCCCACAAAAAATGGGCATTATCAAGTATATATCAGATATTCTACTTTTTATTGACTGAATACATTTAGTTAACACCATCTGTAAGTCAAGTACTCATTCAGGTAGCAGAGACAGACAAAAAAAAAAAAAACTTGGTTTTTCCTCAACTAAAAATTTTAGGGGGCTAAAGTTGTGGCTCAGTGGTAGAGTGTTTTCCTAGCATGTATGAGGCAATGGGTTAAATCTTCAGCCCCACATAAAAATAAATAAATAATCCCACTCTCAAACATCCTGCCTTGCCATGTGTTCTCTCCCTTTTGCATGAGCTCCCACTAGGATGACATTTATCATATGATGCAGCTAGGGAGCCCTCACCAGAGCTGGCACCATGCTATTTGGACTTTCAGCCTCCACAACTGTGAGTTAAAAATAAATAAATAAATAAATAAATAAATGGTCCACCAACAACTGAAAAATATATATTCTTTAAAGTTTCCAAATGGGGCTGGGGTTGTGGCTCAATGGTAGAGTGCTTGCCTAGCATGTGTGAGGCACTGGGTTCAATCCTCAGCACCACATATAAATAAATAATAAGTTTTCAAATCTTTAAAAAAAATGTATTTTAGTTTTGTCAAATGCTCTTAAAGAAATACACAAAAGCTTCAAATTTTACTTTATATAAAGGGTAAGAGGGAAACCTTCAATATAGGTAATATGTAAGCTAGGGCACTCCTATAATACCAGCAACTGGGCAGGGGCAGGTAGAGAGACAGGAGGACCACAAGTTCCAGAACAATATTGGCTAATTAGCAAAGCCCTAAGCAATTTAGCAAGAACTTGTCTCAAAAAATAAAAAGGGTTGAGGGTGTGGCCCAGTGGTATAAATTTTAAAAATAAATAAAGTTGTGACAGCTAAGAGTAGCAGGAAGAAGATATTCACCTAGGCAGTCAACAGGTTATGAATAAGGGAAAGGCAAGGAAGAAAGGGAGCAGTGAAATGAGGCTATCCCTGAAACATTTAACTGTGGCAAAGCCATGGTCCCAGGCTTTACTGATGAGGTAGTATCACTATGACAGAAGTCTGATTTTTAATTGCTAATACAGTTTTCCAGATGAAGAGTCAAAGCACAGAGATTTATCCCAGGTCATATGACTAGTAATTGGTTGGGCCTTGTCTGCCTAAATCTGATTCCTGAGCTCTTGTTATCACTACCTAAAATGTCTTTCTAGTAGAAAATATCATTATTATATGCAAGTATGAATATAACACAATGAAACACTTTATTTTGTACAATTAATATGCACTTTAAAAAAATAAGGCTGGGGGCTGGGATTGTGGCTCAGCGGTAGAGCACTCGCCAAGCATGCTCGAGACCCGGGTTCAATTCTCAGCATCAAAAACATAAATAAATAAATAAAGGCATTGTGTTGTGTCCATCTGCAAAAAAAAAGATATTCTCTCTCTCTCTCAAAAAAAATAAGGCTGGGAATGTAGCTCAGGATATAGCACTTGCCTAGTGTATGTAAAGCCCAGTATTAAATAAACAAAATAAACTTGTCTCTCTAGGAAATCCACTGTTCTTCCTCCCATTATGTTGCTCGGAGTCCTTGCTCTATTTGCATCCAGTCCTGTTACCATTTCTAGACATTTTCACAACTTCTACTTTAGGATAAATGCTAAACCTAACTATCAGTCCACTTCATGCCTCCCCCAAACTCTGAAGGTTGAAAAAGTCTGTGCTTTCAATATCTGCCCATAAATTTTAAAAGGGCATTCAACTATATTTTGTTCCAAAGACTGTTATTTCCTAATTCTTCTCCTCAAACTTTAATTACCATATTTTTACACTCATTGATCCCTTCATATCTCTCCCTTTTGGTTATGCTGAGGAACAAACACAGAACCTATCACAAACTAGGTGAGAGCTCTACCACTGAGCCAAATTCACAGCCCTATTTTTATTTTAAGACAGGGTCTTTCCTCAAAAGGCTAGGCATGGAACTGCCATACCGCTCCTTAGTATTTCTGCAGAAGAATTAAAATCATCATATTACAATGTTACATGCCACCCATGTTTATAGCAGCACAATTCATAACAAAAGTCATATAGAAAAATGAAATTATGTCATTTGCAGAAAAATGGATGAAACTAGAAACCATTAAGTAAAGTGAAATAAGTATAGCTCAGAAGGTTAAGGGTTCTATGTTTTCTCTCCTATGTAGAAGCCAGAGAGGAAAAACGAAAAGAAAGATGGGGGCGGATCTCATTAAAATCAAAGGGACATCAGAAAACAACCAAGGGATGGGAGTAGGGAGACAGGGGGAAAGTGCTAGGGAGTGATACTGCCAAGTTATATTGTTATATTATATGCAAGTACAAATACAACAACAAATCCCATCATTATGTACAACTAAAATGCACCAATTAAAAAATGCAGAGTGTGGGGAGACAGACTCTCACTATATTGTCGAGGATGGCCTCAAACTTGCAATTTCTCTGCCTCAATCTCTCAAGAATCTGGGTTTATAGGTATATGCCACGATGCCTAGCTCATATCATCTTTCAAAGTCTTCTAAACTGGCATGTTTACACTTGCATCAATGTACTCTGCTTTCTCTCCTACTCCACTAAAGCCAACATCTTTATACCTACTCTAAATCTTATTCCTGCAAACTCAAGGATTTGGTATCAAAATTATTTTCTCAATGGGGTGCCAAGGCACAAGCCAGGGAATTTGGGAGAATAGAGCAGCAGGATGCAAAGTTAGAGGCTAGCCACAGCAACTAAGTAAGATCCCACCCTCAATAACTTAGAAACCCGGTCTTTCTTTCTTTCTTTCTTTCTTTCATTCATTCATTCATTCATTCATTCATTCATTCATTTATGATTTATGTGGTGCGGAGGATTGAACCTAAAGCCTCACAAGTGTAAGGCAACCGCTCTACCACTGAGCTATAACTCTAGCCCCTTAAAATTTTTTTAAAAGTTGTCTTGTTTAGGGCAATTTTTCCCTTGTTCATAGGCACAAAATATCTTAATATTTTACAAAATATCTATCTTACAAAAAAATTACTATTGACTCCACATAGTACCATTCTCTTTCCTTCTCATTAAAATCAACATAAAAAAGTTTTCTCCATTTCTCTGTTCATCATTCAACTTGTTTGGCCCAGCATTCTCTGAAAACAGGACCTACCAAGATGTCTCATGACTCCCATAATGCCAAATTCAAGAGTCAATTCCATTGTCATCTCACTCAACTACTCAGTTAGATCTGACACAACTGCCTGAGTTTTCTTGAATATTTCCTCTTGGATTCTAAGACACTTCTCTCTCCTGTTTCCTAGCACATTCTGGATGCTCCTTCTCAAACTCCTTTTTTTGCTTCTCCTAATTTTCCAATGAACTTCTGTATATCCTTTTCTTTTCTCTATATACACTCCATATTCTTTCTAGGTAATCCCATCCAATCCACAACTGATGAAAAAAATACATTTCTCTACCCCTAACCACCACTATGAGCTGCATCCCAGAACTCAAACCACCTTCTTGGGTTTTTTTGGGGTGGGTACCAGGGATTGAACTCAGGGGCACTCAAAACCACTGAGCCACATCCCCAGCCCTATTTTGTATTTTATTTAAAGACAGGGTCTCACTGAGTTGCTTAGTGCCTTGCTATTGGTAAGGCTGGCTTTGAAATCATGATCCTCCTGTCTCAGCTTCCTGAGCCAGTGGGATTACAGACATGCACCACTGCACCTGGCTTCAAACCACCTTCTTTTTTTTTAGTTGTAGATGAACACAATACCTTTATTTTATTTTATTCAGCGCTGAGGATTGAACCCTGTGCCTCCTATGTGCAAGGCAAGCACTCTACCACTAAGCCACACTCCCAGCCTTCATATCACCTTCTTGACAACTCAAGTACCGCAGAAATGAACAGGCCCAAAAGAAAGTTTTTATCCTTGACTTTATCACTATTATAAACATGCATCAATAAATGGAAAAATGTATTGGTTGGATATCAAACACTGAAGTATCCACAGATAACGGCAATGCAAAAGGCATAAAATAAGAAATGTATCTAAATAAAATACAAAATAGGGCTGGGGATGTGCCTCAGTGGTTGAGTACCCCTGAGTTTAATCCCCAGTACCAAAAAAAAAAAAAAAAAAAGTGCAGAATAAAGTGACGCAGAATAAAGTGACGCAAAATGTTTTGAATGAGCAATGTTCACATAATCCTAATGTAAATACAGATTACAGATTTAATTGTGCTATAAACTTGTTGGGAACTGCAGAAAGAATTAATCTGTAGAAATATATGTAGGAGAACCAAATTTTTATTTATTATAGTAACAAAATAAATATCTAAAACTGCAAAAATCAAGAAACTGCAATTAAGCATTATATTTTGAAAAGTAGAAGTAAATAAATAGCTATAAGAATAGAAATTTCTCTTGGGGAACAAGTTTTACAATTTCTTTTCTTTTCTGTAGTGCCGAGAATTGAACCCAGGGCCTTGTGCATGCAAGGCAAGCACTCTAACAACTGAGCTATATACCCAGCCTACAATTTCTTTTTAATGGAGCCTTTAGACCTATTTATTTTTTTAAGCTGCATTCACAAAATACCTGCATTTTTACAAAAGTTAAATGAAGATCAACTCAACCCACCTTAACTGCCATGAAGAGCTCTTCTTGGAGTTGTGCGATTTGCTCTGGTGAGAGCTAAAGGCAAGTAAAAAGCAAAAAGTGAAGTATCCAAGCTATATGAGGAGGAAGAGCACGATCTTGACCTAAATGTCACATACCTGCAATGCTAGAATAGAGGTGATGCTCACTGCCATAGTTTGCATTTTGGGGTTCTCATGCCTACAGAGCCATTTCATAACAAACTTGGCAGCATCAAACCTGAAAAGAAGTGTTTATTTTTCTCAATATTACATAGTTTGTGAAACTGTACATGGCAAATCACTCAGCCTCCCCCAACAAATCCTGTAACAAAAATAGTTTTGAACTTATAAAGCCTCAACTATGAAAATGAGCATTTAGGAGATAAGATAGAATAGGAGAGTATACAAATAGAATGAGTACGCATGGGGTGCAGATCAAAGGAAGGGTACCTGCAGAGCATGAAAGTAGCAGCCCTGGAGTCAATCATCAGAACCAAGGGGTAATAAAAAGAGCGAGAGAAAAAGAATAAAAATACAACACTGGGGCTGGGGCTGGGGCTCAGTGGTAGAGCTTGCCTCACACAAACATGTGAGGCATTGGGTTCGATCCTCAGCACCATATTAAAAAATTAATAAATAAAGATATTGTGTTCATCTACAACTAAAACATATCCTTTTAAAAAACAGAACACTGGATAAGCAGATCCAAAGAAACCTTTTTTTATTTTTATTTATTTCTGGGGATTTATTTTTATCCTTTCTGGGAACTGAACCCAGGATCTCACATAGTAGTAGGCAAATGCTCTATTACTGAGCTACATCCCCAGCCCTTTTCATTTTTTATTATGACATGGAGCCTCACTAAGTTGCCTAGGCTGGCCTTGAACTTGTGATCCTCCTGCCTAAGCCTCCCAAGTAGCTGGGTTTATAGCCCTGTGCAACTATGCCTAGCAAAAAAACTTTTTAGCATTTAGTTTCTACTATGATGAGTCTAAAGAGTTTCCAAAGAGGTATTAATTTGTAATCTGAATTGTGGACAGTGCCAAAAAGCTCGTATCAGCCTGTGCTTAATTTTTCTGCTTTCTGCAGTTAACTAATCTAAATGCTTTAAACTCGTGAATCTGGAAGATCACAAAGGCTTTGAAAAGAATCCCAAGAATCCCTCTATAACATCTAGGATGATAATGATTTTTTAAATTATTATTAAATAATCAATAACAAAATAAATGACTAAGATTCTTCATATGGCCAATACCTCTTAAACTATGTACTGTGATAGATAATTTATAAACATTATCATATCAAATCCTCAAAAGAGTTACTATTTTACAAACAGAGGAAACATGTGCAGAGACAATGGAAGGGCTAGAACTTGAGTCCAAGTGCATTTGATTCTTTGGAGCTCATTATATTTTTTACCCACTGCCTGGTCCTGGAATCACTTTGGGAGAGAACATTTACAAATACAGTACCACCGATCACTACTGTGTGTTAGGCTCAAAACAGCCTTCTGCACAAACAACTTGTCTGAGCCTTAATCAGGCCTTGGCCAAATAATAATCAAATGCCAACAGTGCTCAGAGGAACACTGGCCAGCACCCCAATCAGATGACCAACTTCTATTTATACTTGCCTGTCAAACGGAACATCCACAAGAATCCTGGAATTGGTTAAGGAAAGAAGACAATTCTTCTGTAACTTTTGAGTAAAAAAAGAAAATAATTGTGAGTAAATGTAATACTCCATTCTAAATACAGGTTCCAATGTATTAGATGGTTTAGATGGTGCTAAAATGAGCTTTTCTTATTGGTAGCTCACTGCTGTACCTAGCTCTCTTCAAGTTTTTCCTTTAAACCTACAACTGATGACTGCCATGCAGGAATGAAGACTAATTGAGCCAGATCTTTTAACTTTTCAAGAACAGGCGAAAATACAGATTTCTTAAATGAGAAAGATCATCTTCCTTATTATATTTTTAAATATCAACTCCCACTGGGACAGGCACAGTAGCAGATATCTGTCATGCTAGAAAGTCAGGAGGCTGAGACAGGAAGACCAAAAGTTTAAGGCCAGCCTCAGCAACTCAGCAAGGCCCTAAGCAATTTAGCAAGACCCTCTCTCAAAATAAAAACATAAAAAGGGCTGGGAATGTAGTTCAGTGGCAAAACACACCTGGATTCAATCCCAATACCAAAAAAAAAAAGAAAAGAAAATTATATCTATCTCCCTCTCTCAATTCCTATCATAAAGACTCATTTAGATCTGACAAATTTATTCACCTGTGTAACCATCACCACCACAAATCAAGAAAAAAACATTTCTATCATCCCCAAAGAGTTCTACTATGCCCCATCCTGGCAGCTTCAACCCCAGAAAATTACAGTTATAGTTCTTTTTTTCTTTTAAGGTTTCACAAATGGAATCATATAGTATCTACTCTTAAAATATTTTGCCTGGCAAATGTTTTTAAGATTCATCCCTGTTGCATGTATCAGAACTTCATTTCTTTCTGTGCCAAACAGTATTTCCTTATATCAATATACAATTTATTTATTCACCCAATTTTTTTTAGTAATTATGAACAAAGTACTATGAACATTCCTATATAAACATTTATATAGACATATAATTTTATTCTCTTTGCTAAACACGTAGGTGGGAATAACTGGGTAGAATAAAAGTGTACATTTCATTTTTAAAGAAATTACCAAACAGTTGAACTGGTAGTTGTATCGTTTCACATTCTTACAACCAAATGAGAATTTCAATTGTCTCATACCCTGCCAACACTTGATGCCTTCTAGTTATTGTCCAGTCTAAGGGGTATGCAGTAGTTTCTAGAAGGAGTACCAGTATCTCACTGTAGCTTTAAATTGAATTTCCCAGGTAACTAAGAGTATTGTAGCTGGATACCAATGGTGCACACCTGTAATCCCATCAACTTGGGAGGCTGAGATAGAGTACAAGTTCAAGGTTAGCCCGGAAACTTAGCAAAAAACTGTCCTAAAATTAAATAATAATAATAATAATAATAATAATAATAATAATAATGGCTGTAGATGTACTCAATGATAAAGCACCACTGGATTCAATCCACACACACATCCCCAAAAAATTACGAGGTTCTGGAAATTGAACCCAGAATCTTGTCTGCTAGGCAAGCACTCTGACATTGAGCTATATGCCTCCAACCCTTTTATTTTTTATTTTGAGACAGTCTCACTAAGCTGTTCAGGCTGGCCTCAAAATTGCAATCCTCCTGCTTCAGTCTCCAGAGTAGCTGGGATTACAGGCATGCATTTTTAAAAAATTTTAACCTGGGCTGGGGATGTGGCTCAAGCAGTAGCGCGCTCGCCTGGCATGCGTGCGGCCCAGGTTCGATCCTCAGCACCACATACCAACAAAGATGTTGTGTCCGCCAAATACTAAAAAATAAATGTTAAAATTCTCTCTCTCCCTCTCTCTCACTCTTTAAAAAAAAAATTAACCTCATTGCTTATCTGTAGTTCCTATTTTTCTATACCAAACATCATATACTCCTTATCTATTTTGTCTCTCTCCCTCCCTCTCTTCCCCTCTTTCTCTCTCTCTCTGATACAATGAAAAACCAGAACTAAAAAATACACATCTGTATTTTTTGCAAGTCATCCATGGGCTGTGTGTGTGAGCTATGCTCATTGGAGCGATATTTTGAGGGGACAGGTCTGGCATTACGCGCTGACTGGGTTGTGCGACAAGTACACCTTTCCTCTTGCTCAGCCTGTGATTGCACACAGCACCTGAGATGGGTGTGATTTGCCAAGATGTCAATCAACCTGCTGAACATAAGACATCGCAAAATAAGACTCACCTCTGAAATATTATCCCCTGCCTTATTTGGTGAAGAACATTCCACTGAAGCTCCTGTGTGTGTGTGTGTGTCTGGGTGCGCACTCTTTCCAGAGCTGTCCAGTGTGGAAGCTGACCCTTAAGGTGGCAGATCAGTCCCACCCTAGATCTGAGAAACTCATGTCCTTATGTTGTGTGATTTCTTCACTGTTTTCCTAGTTTAATGTTGCAGCCAGCTCTTTAGAACCCAGCTCATCTTGTCAGTGTGGGCACCTGGTGAGAGTAAAGTATTTGCCCTGATCTTAAAAAGCACAATTAAAATTTCAATCAAAATTACCTGTTGGTAATGGGGGAAATTTTTCAGAGCCTTGAAAAGTAGACAAGTGACTTCTGACAATAGGCGAACAGGCATTCCCTGGGCCAGACCCTGGCGTGTTAAGTTGAGGGCACAAGCACTAGCTGTGAATTGCACTGGTAAATCCATTGGATGATTCCTCATTCCTACAGCCACAAGCTGAAGATAAACATGGTTTGAGAGTATAGAACAACATCAACATTCTTTTTACTGCCTTGTGCTTGTTCTGGTTGGCAAAATGTTTGCTCTTTATCGTAACAGTAACAGATATTCCTTATCCTCAGCATTTACTCTTTTAGGACATTAAGGTATTATATCAATACTCTCTAATTAAAAGGCAGTCATTAACTTTCTGTGTGACTTTGGACAAGTCGCCTCCTTTCTCTGGACCTCCCATTTCCTCACACTAAAACTAATTTCACAATCTTTCCTTGGGCCTCACTTCATTCAAGGTATTCCAATAGGCATTTCAGAGAACACAAATATGAACCAGACTTATATCTTATTCTTATTCTTTAGTGTAAAGCCTTGTAAGAGCAACAGTGCACACAGGCAAACACTGTGAGGGATTCCAACAACATGAAACTAAAAAAAGCCTCATCAAAGACATGCAAATAAGTGATGTTGAGATAGATATGGAGGGAGCACTCATTTCTGGAAAGAAATCAAACATACAATTACTTATCTAATTGAACCAAGTAATCTGAAAAAAACTTCCTTTCTAGGGTATAGTTACCTTTAAAATAGCAGGCATGTGTACATGCATTGAAAATGTCTCTGTAAAGAGCCTGTAAAGAGCTTCCTTCATAAAACATGACCTGTTCCCATATCGGCTCAGTGCTTCGGAAATCTGACCCATACTGGCTCCTCCAGCAACCTGAAAAAGAAGCACATTACTAATAGGTTTTACCAGTCATGCCCAAGCTTCCAATGTTTGAAACAATATTAAGAGCTGTTCAATGATATATTCCAGGTGGTTTACAAAGTTGTTCTCATTTAGTCAGAGAGGTAAAGTATGCTGCTAATTTAACAAAGAAGTAAACTGGAGAAATCAAAATTAAATACCATCTCCCTATAACTATATTACAATTGATACTTCAACTGAGTACAATCCTCAGTAATGCAAAACAAGAGAAAAATACTCAACTAATATAATGAGTTATGTGTAATTTTTTAATGTTAAATTATTGAAAGCCAGATTATAATTAATTGAAGAGTTATATTTTATTTTTTTTAAAGAGAGGGAGAGAGAGAATTTTTAAATATTTATTTTTCAGTTTTCGGCGGACACAATATCTTTGTACGTGGTGCTGAGGATCGAACCCAGGCCGCACACACGCAAGCGCACTACCGCTTGAGCCACGTCCCCAGCCCCAAGTTATGTGTAATTTTTTTAACAACCAAAAATAATGAATGAATATAATGTTTCTCAAATAATCCTATAGAATTAGAAAAATGGTCATGTAAAATAATACAAAAAGACTAAGGATATAGTTCAGTTGGTAGAGTATTTGCCTACCATGGGTGAGGCCCTATATTCAATCCCCAGCAACATAAAGTAGAAAAAGAAAAAGGAATTGATTTTAATTTTTTTGAGTAGCATTTCTTTCTTATTTATATAGTATCATAATTTTCCATGCTATCCCTGAATAACACATTTTAAATAGTTAATATGAAGACTTTGGATCTGGAAAATAATGGTGTTCACCTGACTCCAAACCACCCCTACTCCCAACACCCTCATATCATCTCTTCAAACTATAAAATCAACAAAGAATTTAAACAAACTAGACATGACACAGTTTACAGCATTACTGGGTAGTGAGGGGAAAAAAGAAGGAAATGGGGGAGGGGAGATAAAGGATCATGCAAAAGAAAAAGAAAACCTTCACCATTCTACCATGACAAATAACATCATCACCCATTGGATGATCTCACTCCACTAAATTGACAAGAGACTGCTTTTAAATTAGGAACCTTATCAACCAAATGCCCAAAAATGAAAAAATTAAAACCAATTCCATATAAAACATTTTTGAGAATGTCAGAAAAATGAAAACCTACATATTTTGGCTTAAAAAAATCTTTCCATAAATGAAAAATAAATCAGAAGACAATTATACCATAGCACAGCACTCCAAACTTAATATTCTTTTTTTTTAGTTGTAGATGGACACAATATCTTTATTTTTAGTCAGAGAGGTAAAGTATGAATATTAAGTAAACTTAATATTCTTAACACACATTTTGGTATATGAAAAAAAAAAAATATATATATATATATATACATCCAGGCATAGTGGCACCCACCTATAATCCCAATGACTTGGGAGACTGAGGCAGAAGTACCAAAAGTTAAAGGTCGGCCTCAACAATTTAGAGAGACTCTGTCTCAAAATAAAAAATAAAACTGTCTGGGAATGTAGCTCAGTGGTAAAGCACTCCTGGGTTCAATCTCCAGTGCCAAAACAAATCATTAATATCAAGGAGCTAAAGCAAGGGTTTATTAAATTCTGGAAAGAAAAAGATAAAATTTTACCAAATAGACTAAGTTACATGGTACACAAGGAAGAATAGATTTAATTTAAAAAAAAAAAAAAATGTAGTATGGGGAATAGCATGGTGCTACTTGCCTCTAATCCCAGAAATCTGGGAAGCTGAGGCAGGAAGATCACAAGTTCTGAGGCTAGCCTCAGCAATTTAGCAAGGCCCTAAGCAACTTTGTGAGATACTGTCTAAAAAAATAAAAAGGGCTGGGAATGTGGCTCAGTGGTTAAATACCCCTGGATTCAATTCCAAGTACCTCTCCTCAAAAAAAAAAAAATGAGTAAGAAAGAAGAATATAGCAGGAAAACTGACTTCTTCCCTACCTCACCGCGACTCCAACACTGAGAATTGAGCCTAAGGACAATCTACCAACTGAGTTATACCTCTTCATTTTGTGTCAGGGTCTCACTAAGTTGCAGAAGCTGGCCTAAAACTTGCAATCCTCCTGCCTTGGCCTCTAGAGGTATGTACCAAATGTATCCAGCTCAAACAGTTGTATCCTATGCAGTGCCCAGGATCCAACCCAGGGCCTCATGAATGCTAGGCTAGCACCATACCACTGAGCTACATTCCCAGTCAAAACAAGTAAAAACTTAAAACAGAAAGCAGAAGCAGAAAAAGATCTAGAGAATCATTACAGAATAAAATGAAAGAATATCAAACCTATACAGACAAGTTTCTGTAGGAAAAATGAACAAATACTTGAAACTACCATCCTAGAAAACTGTCTAGACAGAAAAGACCTAGGGGACTCAGGGTGTATCTCAGTGGTTGAGGCTCAGGGTGTATCTCAGTGGTCAAACTCTTGTATAGCATGTACACATGTTCATCCCAGGCACAAACACCTAAAGAAGAAAATGTGAACATAGTTAGTGACTCTACAAAATACTTTTACACAGCCAGGCACGGTGGTGCAGGCCTATAATCCCAGCTACTTGGGAGGCTGAGGCAACATCATTACAAAATCAAGACCGGCTTGGGCATCTTAGTGAGACCTTGTCTCAAAATTTTAAAAAATGAAAAGAGGATATAGATATAGCTCAGTAGTAGAGCTCTCCTGGGTTCAATCACCAACATCACACACACACACACACATACACACACACACACACACACACACACACATACACACACACACACAATACACTTCTGAACATATACATTTATACTCCATTATATATGATGTATCAAAGTGCATTCTAAACTGGGCACAGTGGCACACTCCTATAATCCCAGCGGTTGGGTAGGCTGAAACAGGAGGATGGCAAGTTCAAAGCCAGCCTCAGCAATGGCAAAGCGCTAAGCAACTCAGTGAGACCCTGTCTCTAAATAAAATACAAAATAGGGCTGGGGATGGGGCTCAGTGGCCAAGTGCCCCTGGGTTTAATCCCTGGCACTAAAAAACAAAAAGTGCATTCTATTGTCATACATGACATATATATGATATATATATATTGCTTTTCAAAATAACACCATGGGTGGGGCTGGAGTTGTGACTCAGTGGTAGAGCACTTGCCTAACATATGAGGCACTGAGTTCGAATTTCCGTACCACATATAAATAAAGGTCCATCAACATCTAAAAACAAAATAGTAAAAAAAAAAAAAAA